ACTCCTCCCCCCCCCCCCAACCCATGTAACGCACGGTAACGTTGGCTCAACCCCAGCCCCCTAAGAACGTTACATAATACTCGAACAGCCCCCTAATGAACATCTACCGAATATTTCAGTCCAGGGAGGGAGGGGTATTGTTTGCCCGCCCTCTGAAATGACGTCCCCTTATCGTGATATCACCATCGGATCGACTGTTATTAGCGGTGAGGTCGTTCTCGAAAGCCTCCCTCGGGGCCGATGGGTTCACTGATCGCGCACATCAAGCGGCCTTAGGCGGGTTTTTCTGTCCCTGCCCCCCTGCCCCCCGAGCCCCCCTGGTTTCCCGATCCTCCCTCTGGATTCCTCCGTGTTGAGGAAGTTGTTCTCCGGTCGTGTCCGCCCAGCGCCACCCCCTTCGCTCACTGCGAATTCCTGGCGACTCTCAAACTTGCAACCTCTCCAGGTATCACGAAGTTGGGGACCAGTGATGCCGCACTCACAATAACAAGACTCATGTACTGCACCTGTTCCAAACTTCATCTTGAGCAAAAGAGGGTTGTTTCTAATAAAACATGGCTCAAAAATCACGGAGAGTGTATCTGGAAAGGCTAAAATGAGGGGCCTGGAGGACAAGGCGCATAAGTGCAGTTTTTGCTATTTCGAGAAATGCGTGTTTGAAGTTTCGAAATTACATGGATTCTTATGGCGGGAAAAATTTCAAACTGACATTTTGATGCTTAAAGTTTGGAATTGGGGAGCGAATTTTTCACAGAATATGCATTAAGACTAGTTTCACTTGAAATAATTAATATCTCAATTTTTTCAAAAATTGCACTTATGTGCCTTCTCCTCCAAGCCCTTCAAATAGCGTTTCTCAAGTCTGCCAATCGGAGTTCGAGTTTACAACGAAAAGCTCTTTTTAGTTGGCTGATGAATAAGGGCGGGGGTTGGTGATGAATAAGTTCCAGGTTCGTTCGTTAATTTTAGTGCCAGACGGCAAGACGACTTCTACTTGGTTTCGACTTGATTTGCTTTTATTTCTTCATCTCTTTTTTGTCAGTTTTTCACCGAAATGCTCGGAAAACATTTCCATTCGGACGTTTACCTGAACTCAATCATGATTAAAGTTTGCAACAAGAAGCCACTATTTCCTGGTAGCTCAGCCGCAAAATCACCTATCTTCATGAGGACACTAATGGCATTCACGGTGTCAGTAGGGCAAGCCAGGGATATTTGATCATTTTTGAAAAATGCAGTGACTATAGTCGGAGGAAGAGTTCCTCCTCTCGTAATTTGTCACAAAACGCACAAATGGATTACATTTTGCTATAAAGAAGCAATATCTCTGACTCTTCTATAAAAGCTCTTCTCTGCATAGGGAAACCAATGAATGAGCCGGAAATAGTGGTTCCTTCGTTGCAAAAGGGTTCCTCCTCTCGTTATTGGTCAGAAATCGCACAAATGGATTACATTTTGCAATAAATAACCACTATCTCTGGCTCTTCTATAGAAAAGTAAGAGATAACCAATATTTATAAGAGATAACCACTCTATTTACGGCTCATTTTAGGAACAACATTTATGACATTGGTTTTCCCATGCAAAGAGGAACTTTTATATGTAAAAGCTCTTCTCTGCATAGGGATACCAATGGCATAAATTTTGTTTCTAAAATGAGCCAGAAATAGTGGTTTCTTCCACGAATGTGGTTCAAATGTGATCCAAATGAGCACCCTACTAAAATAAGAGAACTTTCCCCTCGAAGTGGCAACTGATTTCAGACGTGTCGGTCTTTGTTGTCGGGCATACGGACAAATCGACCGGCTCTGCCTCGGACGAAACGATCCCAGACGACTTTCGGCGAGAAGCTGGTAACAATGGCGGGAGCGTTCACCTACGACCCTCGAGGCGAACCAATTATCAAGGCATCCGCGGTGCTCGGCATTGATTATTTATATTGTACTTGATAATTTATCTGCTGATTCCGCGAATAAGCTTTAATAACTCAGTGGCCGATGTCCCGGGGATGTTCCGTGACGGCTCCATCGGAGCGTGCTG